ACTTTATTGGGGTTCTTTTAATTTCTAAATTAGTTTTACAATCATAGGAAACATTATTCCCCAACATGATCGGACATGTTCCTCTAAGAAAACCTCTAAGATAACAACCTTTGGATACTATGGTTGTGCGACTTTTCTCACGTGCACCTTTCTCATCTGACTATTATTTGCTTATAATGAGGGGAAGGATACATTATCAATATTGTCACATGGGGATGTGGTCGCGATGGGGGCAATTAAGTTTACTCTTTATAGACATGATCGTTACATTTTTATGACTTCAAAGCCCATTAAAATCAGTTAGTTTATTGGATTATGCTAATTGTCCCAGAACTCGCATACGTTAATGAGAGGGAAGGGGGGCGGGGGCCATTAATTTGCTAATTGTCCCAGATTCCATGTTTCCATACTACTCTCTTTTAATCTTCGTAGCGCCTCTGGTAGTGATTGTCTTGATAATGCGTCGGCCACCGCGTTTAGCTGAACCTTTCTGTACGCTTTTTCAAATTAGTACTGTTTTAGCTCCAGGGCCCATCTGGCGATCCTTCCTGAAGGGCTTTCGATGCTGTTGAGCCACTTCAGACCATGTGGTCTGTTACTACCTTAAAGTGGTACCCTTCCAGATATGGTCTGAGCTTTCGCGCCGTTCAGTGTTCGGCTCGAATAAGAGATTACTCTTTCTCCCTTTTCGGTGTCCTGGGTCAGTATTGCTCCGATGCCGTATTCGCTGGCGTCTGTTTGCAGAATGAAAGTTCTACTGAAGTCCGGGCATGCTAGCACCGGGTCTGCCACGAGTCTTGCCTTTACTTCCTCAAACGCATTCTGGTGCTCTGGTGTCCACTCCCATTCATTCAGGGGTTTCACGATTCTGGAAAAATCTGGTAGAAACCGGCGGTACCACGACGCTACTCCTAGGTATTGCCGGAGCTCTTTGACGGTCGATGGCGGTTCCAGTTCGGCGATGGCGGCTACTTTTCTGGATCCGTTCCTATTACCTCGCTAGTCACTCGATGTCCCAGATACAGCAGTTCCTTCTTAAAGAATTGGCATTTTTCTCGATTCAGCCTAAGGTTTGCTTCCTTTAGACACTTCTCTAAGGTTTATCTTGTGTTCTTCCAGCGTGCGACCGATTACTATTGTTGCCATCCTGGTAAGCGAATGCGTGAGATGACATCTCGGGGCCAATTACTTGGTCCAAAACTCGCTGAAACGTTGCCGATGCCGAGGGAAGTTCGAACGGCATTACCCTCCACTTAAATAGACCTTTGCCTGGTCCCGTGAACTCCGTGTATTGTCTGCTATTTTCTTCCAGTGGGATCTGCCAGTATCCATCCTTCAGGTCCAAACTGCTGATGTACCGCGCTTCCCTTAGTTGATCTAGGATGTAGTTTATGCGGGGCATTGGGTAGGCATCCTTCACTATCCACTTGCCTGTCATCTTTTTCACCATCACGATGGGGGACCTGTATGGGCTCTTTGAATGCTCTACACCATTTTGTGTTCTGTTGGTAGTATCTCGGCTTGCCATCCATCATTTTGATCTGGTGTTCTGCCATAATCGATGTTCCCGTCAATGTGCTGAAGTCTGCCAGCTCTGCTTTCAGGAACGTTGTAGTATCGTCCAACTCGTTTACTTGTTGAACGACTGCTACCGATAGCTTCTCCTCGAGCCATCCATTGTGTCCGACTTGTTTCAGGAAGTTTTATCCCAACACCAACGGATCCACTACTCCGGGTAAAATCAACAGGCTCATGGTCACTTGTTTGTTGCCGAATAAGCTGCGCATTAATTCCGCCGCATCTTCCGTCTGCCAACCTAACTTGCCGTCTCGTCCTTGTAATCCTTCCTAGATCATCAGTATTGTCCGCCATTTCTTCGCTAACGAAGCTTGTCGTTGCTGCGGTGTCGGTTGTGCCTTTGTAACTCCTCCCACCAATCATCACAGCTGCAAACAACTGCTGCTCCTCCTCGATTAGCTTGCCCGTTACTTTGGAGATGTAGCATTGTGCGATCCCCGCTCGCCTCTCTGGTTGGCAACAATCAACGCTCCTGACAACCACCTTGCCGCATATCCAGCAGAATAACAGCCGTTGGTTTCGACACCCTCTAGCCCAGTGTCCGTTCCCACCACATTTCCGATAGGCCTCCTGCGGGCTTGTGATATGGGTGGCATCTTGTGGCCTCTGTGAGTTGCTTGGCGGCCTCCACAATGTATTGTTTGGATGTCTCTGTTGCTGAGGGGGTGGTATCCATTGGCCTCCGCGTGGTTTTCTGTTGCCTGCTGCCGTCTGGCTTGGACATTTCCCCGTGTCTCCTGGTTGTCTGTCTTATCGGATCTTCTGCATGTGACCTGCGCTGGTGATGCCGACTTGGTCTTTGAGAACTTCTTCTCCTGTGCAAAAGCTTCTCGTTCTTTTTCAAGTTTTTCGTACTCATCGGCTAGGATAATTGGCGTACGGTCTTAGGAAGATCCGTAGACTTGGGGTGCAGTTCTCTTTAATGATCCTTAATGTCTCATTCGTAGAACTGTAGTATGCATATATATTGAATATCTTCTGTACCAAGAGTACTTGAAATAAACACACTGTAACATTTTGTTGCAGTGTTTACATAAACAAAGTCCCGGTCACAAAACCTAAGTGGCCGAAATATGAGTCGATCGGCGCGCTCACAGAAAGTGCAAGTGTCAGCATTCTGTTACACGCGCAGGCCACTCAACCGAACTCAAGTACATGCATTTACCCTCGCGCTCCACCCTAAGAGAGCATAATTAAATACACATAATATATAAGATATATACAGCCGTATTTCTGCCGTCCAACTGTGGGCAGCGCAGCTACGAGACTTAGGCTTACTTATAACCTAAGGAAAAATGTATGGTCAGAAACAACTACAATAATGCAATAAGTAAATAAAATATTATTAAAACGAATCTTAGAGGTTTTTCTCTACATGGCGACCGTGACAAGTGTTCACATGTAACCCAAAAACAGTAACAACAAAAATCCATTCAAGAATTATCATTTGCAACTACCAAAAATTAGGAAAAATTTCATAAGTCTTTGCGGCCAGCAGCCTACATGTACGAGGGGCAGTCCGCCAATTGTACCAACGCTGGAACAAAGCAGCAAATATTCAAATAAGTATAGAGGACGTCTTTCTCCCAATATTCAGAAAGTGTGAGAGGCAATCCGCCCCTTACGCCAACGCGGGAAATTGGCAAATAGGAGGGAAAAATAAAACGTCTAAGTGAGTAGAGTGCGATTAATGGGAAACGCGGAGGCCAGAAAAACAAGTTCGCTAAAAGAGATCACATTAAGTGGCTATTATATACAAATACGCCGCCCACATGGGCAACAGCAGAAAAATTAACTGCTGAACTTGATTTTCTAAAAGAATGCCTCCAGCTACGAAAGCCAAGTACCGCAACTCACTCAGCTAATATTAAAGTTATAAATGAAACAGTAACTAACAAACCACCATCTCCAAAGCCTTTGCCGAAGAAACCTGACGTCTGCTCAAACGACTGCCCTGGACCACTAGAAGCTGCAGCATGCAAATACACAGGCATGAAAAAGACCAGTGCGAAGACCGGCATCGGCCCTGCCTGAACCAATAGGCCACGGACATCAGTAGCAGTGAAGCCAACAGCGCGAGGGACTCCCTTTCGCCTTCGAAGGAGCGTCAGCGTAGCCAAACCGGCGACGACCAGCTGACGCGGAAGACATCCGATGCAGCAATTAAAATAATTCCAATATTCATATATTGGATAAGAATTGTAAAATTGGGCAGAATCTTTTCTGCCCGATTAAAAGTGTAGACCGTAAAGCTATACAAAACAACAGAAAGAAAACCTGTAAAAGTGGATGCAAAGTAATGCAATAAGTAAGTTTTCTGAAGAAACAGATAGTTATATTTATAATTCAAATATATATACGCCAAAAATGGCAATAGTAGACGTTAAGTCAGTAGACTCCACTGCTAATGTTATTAATAAAGTAGAATCAAACAATAATAATTTAGAATTGATACAAACACTGTTAACAATAATTGTTGTTATAATGTGCGCAAATTGTTTTTATAAACTGTACAAGTTAAAAAATAAATTTATGAGCCAGGCAAATGGTCTGGACAAAATTTAGTAAAAAACAAGGAAGAACGCTATAGTCGAGTACCTCGACTATCAGATACCCGTTACTCAGCTAAATAGAGATATGCAAGTAGCAAAGCGAGATTAAAATGCGCCACCTACCGGCGGTATACAGATTTAAGCGTTATGGGCGTTAGAGTGGGCGTGGCAAATTTTTTTTTCGACCAATCGATAGGTATTGACGAGACCAATACATTTCAGTTAAAATTCTTTATCTAGCATAAAAATTTCGCGGTTTGTGGGCGTTAGAGTTGGCGTGGCATATTCGCGTAACAAACTTGCGCTGCGTATAAGGCTACGGAATCTAAATCTGAAATCCAAATTCTGTATCTTTGATAGTTTCCGAGATATCCACGGTCATACTTACGATTTTTTGAAGTTTGTGGGCGGTTTATGGGCGTTAGGGTGGGCGTGGCACTCTACTGAAACAAACTTGCGCTGCGTAAGAGGCTCAGGATTCTGCACACCAAATCTCAATAGCCTAGCTCCCATAGCTTCCGAGATCTCAGCGTTCATCCGGACGGACAGACGGACAGACGGACATGGCTAGATCGACTCGGCTAGTGATCCTGATCAAGAATATATATACTTTATGGGGTCGGAAACGCTACCTTCTGCCTGTTACATACTTTCCGACGAATCTAGTATACCCTTATACTCTACGAGTAACGGGTATAAATATACAGCACAAACAATATTAATAGAAAAAATATATCTGTAATCAACTTTTAAAATTTAAGAAAATGGAATAAAATAAAAATAAATAAATACAAATTGTTTGCTCAGGAAGTAGGAGTAAATATGCAACTTCGCGAATCCACTGGTTTTATTTAAAACATTGCTTAGCCGTCATCTATGTAAATTGTGCGTTTATTTCAAGAGCTTTTTCTATTCAACAATGTTACCAACTCGCTCGTTTCAGATCTTCCCTATTACATTGGTATCTAGAGTTAGTATTTTATGGTAATCTAGTAGTTTTTTAATCTAGTATTTTGTTGTATGATCGTTGCTTGCCGACTTGTAGGGGGTAATTTATTAGCGATTATCAGCTGTGCTACGCCCCTGCTCGCAGCTTTCGATAGTCGGCATCGCAACGACCATAGAAAACAAAACAAACAGTGAGATGACCAAACCGTCGCTTGATGGCTGATATAAGCTGCCAGCGTTGTAGATGAGTTAGGTCGTCGTCCGGATGAGGAGGTGCCGATCCTGGGGGTAGAGCAGCGAGCGTGGTGCCTACCAGAAAGTGGGCTGGAGTAATAGCCTCTCCGTCGTTAGGGTTGCTGCTGTCAGCTATTAGCGGACGCGAGTTAAGCACTGCTTCCACTTCAACCAACATCGTCTGGACTTCGTCCTCCTTCAGCAAGGCGTTTCCGACGGCCCTCAAAAAGAGGTGTTTGGCGGACTTGACAGCGGCCTCCCATAGGCCCCCGAAATGAGGCGACCGGGGCGGAATGAAGACGAACTCAACCTGGTGATGGACGCCGTACGTTCCCAGTGTGCTGCGGACATCGGAGGCCATCTCCTGAAGCAGCCGTGAGGAACCAACAAAATTGGTTGCATTGTCGCAGTAGAGTCGATCGAGCGGGCCGCGCCGCCCAACAAATCTGCTGAGACAGAGGATAAATGAGTTAGAAGTGAGATCCTTCAATAGTTCTAGGTGAACCGCTTTCGACATACATTTTTAACGCTGCCTTGCCCCGCACTCCTAGCGACACTCGGATTGGACCGAAGAGATCGACTCCGCTTATTCTAAAGGGTCGACTGATTCTGACACGGTCAAGAGGCAGATTTCCCATTATTTGCGACATTAACCGTGGCTTATACCGGAAACAGTGCGTGCATCGCCGCACAACAGCACTGCACTCGCGTCGTGCATTGATCAACCAAATTGTCTGCCGAAGCAGGCCGACTAGGGCTCGTGGTCCTGCATGGCAATTAGCATAGTGCAGGTGCTCGATGTACAATTTGACAAAACGATTCCCTTTAGGCATTAATATTGGGAATTTGGCACTGGGTTCTAGATCCGCGTGCGCTAGTCGACCGCCCACCCGCACCAATGTTAAAGTACGGGTTCCGAAAGTTTCGTTGCTGATAAATGGGCTAAGTTTTTGGTAAGAACTGGGTATGGCAAATTTTTCTTTAATTTATTGAATTCGTCTGCAAACGATTCACGCTGAACAGCCTGCGCGATATAAGAGAACGAAAAACTAAGCTCGGTGGCTGATAGGACGTGGTCGTTCCACAATTTCCAGGCCCTGCCGTAAACAAAACGAAAGATAAATGTTGTAATTCTCACAACCTTCACATAGGAAGAAGAATTTTCAACTAATTGTAGTAGCGGATGATTTGAGACGACAGCAACCGTATGGGCGATTACTGGCGGTTTCATTTCGAGTTGGCTTTCGAGGGGCGTGTCAGCCAAGTGCTGATTAACTGGCCAATGAGTCGAGTCCATGGACAAAAACGAAGGGCCTTCAAACCATAGCGTCGTATCGAGATCTTTGACCGTAGTCCCTCGAGAGGGTAGGTCCGCTGGATTGAAGTTAGTCGGGACGTGTCGCCAGACTGCAGTTGGAGCCAGTTCGTGAATAGCCGAAACCCTATTTGCGACGAATGTTTTAAGTTTTGACAGATGAGTGCGCAACCAGAAGAGAACAACTTCAGAATCCGACCACATAGTAACCTGCTCGACGCGGTAAAGATTAAGCGTTTGCACATCACTCCATAACTTCGCTAAGAGGTGAGCCGCACAGAGTTCTAGTCGTGGAATACTAAGTCTATTGATCGGTGCTACCCTAGATTTGGCTGTTAGCAACCTAACTTTTATTCCCTCTGAGGTCACTGACCTTACGTACAGACAACAACCGTAAGCATCTGTTGACGCGTCCGCAAATCCGTGGATTTGATAAGTGCCGCCAAACTGAGTTCCGACATGCCGAGGGATGTTTAACGTTTCTAAATCTGTAAAGCAAGATGACACCGTCTTCCAACGATGCAGTACGTCGGCGGGTATTTCGTCGTCCCATCCAATTTGTAGCGACCAGAGTTTTTGAATAAATATCTTTGCAAGGGTAACGATAGGGCAAATGAGTCCTAACGGATCGAACAGCCGTGCTGCAAATGAAAGCATGGATCGCTTTGTGGGTGGGTCTTCAAGCTGTAGATTCTGGGCGTTGAATTTGAACGTATCCTGTTTTGAGACCCAAAGTTTTCGTATCGGCGTCTTCTCCAATAAGGACTTCTGGCTCGGCGACCTGTCGTTCGTTGGGGGTACAATTCGACGCCCACTTAGCCAAGACGAACCCTGCGGAATCTAAAATCTCTGTGATTTCCCCTCGCAATTTTCTCAACTCACGGATGGAATCGGCCCCTGTTAACAAGTCATCGACGTAAAAATCATTTGCTAGAGCCTGTGAAGCTAAGGGAAGAGATTCGGAGTAGATCTCGCTAAGCTGCTTCAAACACCGTATTGCAAGGAAAGGAGCACTTGCCGTACCATACGTAACGGTGTTAAGCCGATAAATTTGTAGAGGGTCTTGAGGGGTCTCACGCCATACAATTAACTGGAACTTTCTATGGGTCTCATCTAATACCACTTGTCTGTACATTTTAGTAATGTCTGCCGACATAGCAAATTTATGGAACCGGAATTTAAGCAGCGTGGCATACAGGCAAGGCTGAATTGTTGGCCCTACCAAGAGAATTTCATTCAATGAAATTTGGGAAGTGGTTTTGCATGACGCGTCGAATACGACTCTTAATTTAGTTGAAGAGCTTTCAGGTCGGAGAACGCACTGATGCGGTATAAAATAATGAGGCTCGTTGGGTATCCTCTTATCTGTAGCCTCCATGTGACCGAGAGCTAAGTATTCCTTCATAAACTGGATATACAACGAATGATTTGTTGGGTTCCCTTTCATACGCCGTTCTAAGGACAGAAACCGTCGTCGTGCAGTTTCATACGAGGAACCGAGACACGAAGGACTCGATTTGAAAGGCAGGCTAACTACAAATTTTCCTGTAGTCACGCGAAACGGTGCTAGCAAACGATTTTTCACTCAACCCTTGATCAGGGGTATAGAGCTAGGATTTTGCTAGACTCAGGGTCACAGGTTGGCTCCTGACTGACTTTGAACCTCGACAAGGGCCGTTGCAAGTAAGACGTGATCTACCTTTTGCGGCATAGGCTGACTAACCGAGGCACTTAGTGACTGTTGGGCTACCTGATTGTCAATAGGCGATGACAATTGATTGCTCGACGGTACTTGGGAGGTTGAGGTATACCGATGCAGAAGTGTGTGATGAGCCTTCGTACAAATTCGACAACGAGATGACTGGCATGTTGCGACACTATGTCCTCTGCGTAGACAATTGATGCAAAGTGGTGAATTCTTTGCGAACTTGAACCGAGCTTCTACCGAGATATTAGCGTACGATGTACAACTCTGGATGAAATGGCTGTCTGACTTGCAGAAGCAACATTTAGACTTAAGTTCTTCGACAGGTCGGGAAACTGCTAATGCCGCTTTGCTATATCTGGGCTTGTTCCCTAGCTGTCCCTGTTTGGGAGCTTTTCTGCCTGTCGTGGATTCCTCAGCCGCTAAGTGTTGGTATCGTTTATTAAGCGCCTCTGAGCAATCTTTCCATAACGGAATAGAATCGTAACTAAGTTGCTCTTCCCATCGCGACCGCGTTTTGGGATCTACTCTAGACATGACGATGTGAATTATCATTGCGTTGGCGAGAGTTTTCTCGTTGCCGAGCGAGAGAAGAGATTCATATATAGCAGTTACAGTGTCGATAAGGGATCGCAACGCCGAGGCGGATGGCGCTTGCATTGTTGGGATTTCAAACAATCCAGAAATACTTTTAAAGTATATTAGGCACGGATTATCATAAACCCTGACCAAGGCCGCATGGGCCTTTGCGTAATTTGCTTCTGTGATCTGGTAAGCCTTTACTGTTCCTAAGGCTTCCTTCTCTAAACAGGATAACAGGTGATTAAACTTTTCAACATTTGATAGCGATTCGTCATCGTGAACTAAGCTGTTAAATAAACCTATAAAATTTTTGAACTCGGCATAGTTGCCGTCGAATTTTGGGAGTTTCATTTGTGGTAGTATTCTGCTGTGACTTGCTGAAGAGTTTAAACTACTGTTATTTGCGAAGGTAGAATGATTTCTTTCTCCTTCGGGCCGGTTACAATTTGACATTAATAATGCCTTTGCGGATACACATAATTCTTCTAACTCCTCTCTACATGCTAATTCGTTATTAATTGCCTCTAATTGTTGTTGCAACTCGAACGCCTTTTCGATGTATCCATTTAAAATACCTAAACGACATTCCATTTCGCACGCATTAGGGGGAGTTACTTGACCACGAACTGTGGCCTCAATTCTAATTATATGATTCTTATTCCGCTCAAGCTGTTCCAGCAATTCGTTTGTGTCGTCCTCCGCTGAGGGAGTTCTGCCAAAACGTTTCCGACTTCCACCCATTGTGACTAGCAACTTCCCGTTTTTAGATTATTTCTAACAAGCAAATGCCAATGCAATGCTGCTGGTAGCGATCGAATGTCTGCACTGTCCCACCGTACTAAATCCTCAGCCAGGCTATGCGCGATTGGAGCAAGGAAGGCGAAAAGACCGACACAACCAAAGAGCGCGCGAAGATTGGGGCCAGGCAGATTAAGCAAGACCGAATGTGTGTGTGTGTATATGTTGGGTGGGCCTTTGTGTGTGTATGTGACTGAAAGCCAAGTGAATTATGATATGTGTTTGTGCAAGTGATGGAAATAAAGTTTGCATATATTTACGTAGGCCACTTTACCATATACAATACGGATCGCTGTACTTCTCGGTGTTTCCGACGAGGTTAGGTTGAAGCCCGCTGATGCTCTCCTGTGACGAAATGGAGGTTAGGGACGCAGCCGATGTGCGCTCCCTCTACGATGATGTATGGGGCTCACCCTTCTCCGGGTGCTCCAGTGACGAAAGACGACGTTCTATTGCACCTCTCTATGGGTGCCGACGAGAATGTGGCGAGGAGATGGACGCAGCCGATGTGCGCTCCCTCTACGCCGAGATGTACGTGGGTACTGCGCTCCGGCTGTGCGGGCGCTCCAACAACGAAAGATGAAATTAAAGTTGCACGGGCGCGTAAATGCGTCTCCAACTTGGACCATGCACCCAATGTGCGATGCCGATGCACTTGTTGCGTAACGCGAATTGGCCGCGTGCACTTGTTATATAACTCTTGGTGATTTGCCAACTTATAACAATACGCAAATCCGAAGTTTAGAAGACGGCCAAGAACCAGTGAGTCCACCCGGGGGCGCCAAAGTTTGCTCAGGAAGCAGGAGTAAATATGCAACTTCGCGAATCCACTGGTTTTATATGTCCGTCAAATTAGCGTCGATGACTTAGCGGCGCTGGCGGAACGGTGGAATCTGGAACATGGGGCCAATTTTTATTTATTGTTTTTCTCGGCTTTTTGGGGCCGAATCGAAAAACATTAAATGCAAAATTGTTTAGAATAAAAATATCTATCGATCTAGATAGCTTGCAAACATATCCGACTTCCCGAAATTTATTAAAAATCTATTTAAAAAATCGGGTCCCCACAATTTCGTTTATTGCTCCCCTCACAGAGGTTGTACCAATATGCACGGTAAACCTGGTTATTGGGCGTTAATTCAAGTTTCTTGTCAGAAAGTATCATTGAGCTAAAGCCGTCAGTTTTTGAGAAAAAAGCTTAACAGTGAAGGCACCTTGGATTTTCCCCATACAAAAAAGGGGGGCAAATAGTAAATTGCACAGGGCTCCACTCTCAGACGTTGTACCAACATGCACGGTATATTGGCAGATTGGCGATCGCCTAAAGCAAATTCAGTGCAAAAATCATAACGATAAAGCCGTCAGTTTTTGAGAAAATCGCTTTACAGTGGGGGAAGATAATAATTAAAAGAAGTGGCGCCAGACTAAAATTTGAACCAGTAAGTTTCAAGACATGAACCACTATGTAAAAAATGTATTCAGGACGCTAACCATATGGCAAAAAATTTTGTTTCGACGCTATCTCTATTTGTAATAATTTTGACTTTCACAGACGTTGTACCAACATGCACGGTACCTCGTTGGAAAGGAAATTCATTTTACTAATTAACAAATACGGTTCGGCGAACGAAAAGCCGTCAGTTTTTGAGAAAAAAGCATAGTGCGTTGTGGGCATCTCATTTGTAACCAAATTGTTCCACCCTGTTGTAAGCTCCCAAGACACTAACCATATGGGAAAAAAATAATGTTTCGACGCTATCTCTATTTTTAATTAATTTGACTTTCACAGACGTTGTACCAACATGCACGGTATTTCGTTGGAAAGGAAATTCATTTTACTAATTAACAAATGTGGTTCGGCGAACGAAAAGCCGTCAGTTTTTGAGAAAAAAGCATAATGCGTGGCTTGCATCTATTGTTCACCCTGTTCTAACCTCCCAAGACACTAACCATATGGGAAAAAAATAATGTTTCGACGCTATCTCTATTTTTAATTAATTTGATTTTCACAGACGTTGTACCAACATGCACGGTACCTCGTTGGAAAGGAAATTCATTTTACTAATTAAAAAATGTGGTTCGGCGAACGAAAAGCCGTCAGTTTTTGAGAAAAAAGCATAATGCGTGGTTTGCATCTCATTTGTAACAAAATTGTTCACCCTGTTCTAAGCTCCCAAGACACTAACCATATGGGAAAAAAATAATGTTTCGACGCTATCTCTATTTTCAATTAATTTGACTTTCACAGACGTTGTACCAACATGCACGGTACCACGTTGGAAAGGAAATTCATTTTACTAATTAACAAATGTGGTTCGGCAAACGAAAAGCCGTCAGTTTTTGAGAAAAAAGCATAATGCGTGGTTTGCATCTCATTTGTAACAAAATTGTTCACCCTGTTCTAAGCTCCCAAGACACTAACCATATGGGAAAAAAATAATGTTTCGACGCTATCTCTATTTTCAATTAATTTTACTTTTGTTACGAACTGTTTTTTTTTTTTTGGTGGCAGTGCCGCTAGCTCAGTCGTCTTCAGGGCAGAGTACCCCTAATGCCACAGCTCGCAACATAAGTATCGATAACTTCGCGGTCTCACTTTACTAATCTATCGGTCATCACTAAGGGCAAAAACGTAAACAAAGCAAAAATTACAATTATTGTCGGGAAAATGGATTACATTTGGTGGCTATCGATGTCCTAGCCAAGCGCTCCCACCCAACCATGGATGCCCTCAAGATGCTGCAGGGCACCACCCATTCGCAGTCGGCAGGAGCCCCTTCCTCGCGACTACGGCTACGGTTCCATCTCCCCCACTGGGAAAGCTTATACACACATAGTGGGTATTACAAAGGTTTAATAAATATGGTAAGTACAATCGTTCATATACATTCTCCTCTTAATAGATTTATCCTTCCTCAGCCTCTAAGACCGAAACCTGGCCGCCGTCTCGGATATTTACGCGGTCAAAGCAGAGGATTTGTTTTGCTGGGAAAGGGTACAGGCGCCGCGGGAATTATGCTCTACCAGCCATGTATTGGTAGAGCTCGCATGGAAACGCGGGCCTCAAGGGAACATGCGCGATGCGCGTGTGTATGGTCACCTAATCCTGAGGAGCTCCAAGGGAAAAGAAGGGACAGGCCAAAAAGGTACGTAACTGCACTGTAAACTATACCATTTAACTAATGCTCGCGACCTTTTTAATTTTAGGCAAACAACGAGGACAAATAAGGCTCTCGGGTCTAACTCCGGATAAACTCACAAACAGGTAAGTAGATATCACTATATATAATCGAGGTACACGTGTATTTAATTTCTCTTAATTTTCAGCCACTGTCGGGCCGGGCCTGGAGGCAATGATAGCCCGGGCGGAAGGCTTCTCGCCGGAGGCCAGCAGTGATCCGGATCTCCACACAGGAAAAAGGCGCTCTCCAGTGAGTTATGCAATGACAGTCCGAGATTCGGCTGCCAGACAAATGGCGATTCTTCTCAGCGCCGCAATGCGACCGCTGGAAGTTCCCGAGAGGAGGATGACGCGGTACTCCGGAACGGACTCACCGGGAAATGTGGACGTCGTCGTCGACTGGGAAAGGCCCTTCTTGCTGGTCGCTGATACGGGTCCAACGGACACCGTTTGCTGGGCCGCCAAGTCGGGCTGGCAGGTATGTCGAAGTCGCGCAGATGTCAGCAGATCTCCAATAAATATTCCGGGGCCCTTTGTATTGGGACCCCGGCTGCCTTTATAAATTATAAATATTAAACACTGACTACTATCTAACATTAACCTCACTCACTTGTCAATTTTAAGCACAAAGACAACTTATTTTCTCACTCCTAGCTGAATCTGCCTTGATTGTAGGACAGTATGGCCGCGACTGTCACGATATCTGCTGATCATCGCCCCCGCCATATTACATGGCCTCTCTCAGCATTGGGTCATTGGATACATGGGCCATTTGAAGTAATCCCAGAGCGAACCGGGATTAATCTTCAAATGGCCAGATCGCCCGCCAGACTCACCCCGCTGCTGCAGCTATCGCCCTATCGACCTAAACTATCGATAACGTCGCTCCCACTCGACTCCAATTGCAACACTTTCACAGACGTTGTACCAACATGCACGGTACCTCGTTGGAAAGGAAATTCATTTTACTAATTAACAAATGTGGTTCGGCAAACGAAAAGCCGTCAGTTTTTTGAGAAAAACGCATAGTGCGTTGTGGGCATCTCATTTTTACCAAAATTTTAGCTAGGAACACATTAACCTTATATCGATACCCTATATCGATACTTCGATAAAAACGAATGCACGAGGCCTATAGAAGAAATAATTAATATATTTTACTAAAACTCTTAAAATGGGAATTTCTAATAAACTACTGACCCGATTTTAATAAATAATACATCAAATTGATCAGGTGTGCGAGTATAATCGAAGGTATGTCTTTATTTCGTTGAAAATATTATTAAACATAATTTCGTTTTTATGTATTATGGCGCCAAGACGTTGCCAGAGCGCAAGGGCAGCTCCTTCAAATGCACGAGGGCTGGAAAAGAAATAATTAATATATTTTACTGAAACTCTTAAAATGTGAATTTCTAGTAAAATAGTAAACTACTATTTCAATAAATAATATATCAAATTGATCAGGCATGTCTTTAATTCATTAAAAATATTTTTTAACACAAGTCCGTTTTTATCGAACTTTTTTTTTTATTTTACTAGTGTATTTAATAAAAAAAAAATTTTAATGAAAATCGGTGGGAAACAGCATTGTGTAGCTGACCCCGTTTAAGGAACTCAGAATTTGTACAAAATACACGAATTTGTCATACCCTACAAAATATAATATTAAAAAAACTCGAAATTTCCCTTAAATAAAAATTCGACGCATTTACTTTTGATGTTTTTATTTCTTGATATTTATTTATTGGCCATCAGCCTTATCGACGGCCGCCTTTTTTATAAAATACACTAAGGAAAATTACTTAGAACCTAAGGAAAAATGTATGATCAGAAACAACTGGACGTTGGTAGCGTCACCTTTGCTGCTCCAAATTTAAATAAAAGAATATTAAAACGAATCTAAGAGGTTTTTCTCTACAGAATAGATAAGTGGGCTCTGCATCGTCTGCATGTCGATCATGTAGTCCTTGAACGACTCGCTCAAGCCCTGCTTCCGTTGCCGGGTCTGGTCTGCCAGCCTGGTGAAGAAATCTCTCGGCAGAAAATAGGTGTGGAAGCTTTCTATGAACTCCGCCCACGTTCTCCATTGCTTGTTGTTGGCGATGAACCCCTTCAAAGCCCTTCCCTTAAGCAATTCCGGCATCGGTCGGGGGATCATATCTTAGTCCAAGCCGTACGTGTTAGCGGACCATTCTACCTGCTCCAGGAATTCAAATGGTTTTTCCACCCCGTCGAAACTGAATGGCCATTCGCGGACCTATTTAGCGACCTTTGCGTAGTCCGACTGGCTTGGTCTCGGGGTCAGCGCTGCTGTTTTTCTATCTTGGCTTGACTCTCTCCTGTGGGCCTCTTATTGCTCAGGCTTGCCACTAGGTTGTCCCCTTCAGCGTTCGTTAACGTGATTCTTTGGCCGGCTCTGTCGTGGTGTTTTGTTTCCAGCTCGGCCCATATGTCGACGAGTTGTGGGTCGTTCTCCGTTTCTGAGTAGTATTCCGACAGTGCTTTCCTCATGTCGTCTAGTCTGCCCTCCAGGGCGACATTAAGCCTATGGGCGAAGACTACCTTCTTAAGGCGGCATATCCACTTCATTCCCATTTTTATTGTGCTGCTCTCACTGCCAGATGTAACGAACTGATTTTGTTGGTCTGCTCGCTACGAAGAAGATTGCGTGTTCGTCCCACCAAATTTATATGACGTGACTGCCTCGTAGATCAGTGAGAAAACACAGGATTCAAATTGTAACGGTGGGTTTTATTCTCGTGTTATTAATACAGCGGGTGTGTGGCTGGGGTGGCCCCAGTATCTCCTCGCTCTGGTTCCACAGGCTGCTGATGTTCCTCGTCCTGGTTTGTCGACGCGTTGACTTGACGACCGCTGGCTCCCATGTCTCGGGATGCTCTTACTGGCTGCCTCTGCTCGCCTGCCCACGCGCTGCCGCGGGGTCGCTTGTCGCGCTTTGGACTCGCAGAGAGTTTGGCCTCTCCGGCTTAGGGAAGCGTCACCGTTCTCAGACTAGGGTGAACAAGCTTTGCTCTCCAGGCCAACGCTTTCGAGGCAATACCTGTTCCTTGCTCTGTCTCGGACGGGCCCGCTATGTTCTTGCTCAGATCGTGCTGACAGTCAAAGATAACGCCAGGAAGCTGCCTAGCAGTTTACTTTGCTTTACGCCTAGCGCAGAAAAACTTTCCACCCGGCTTCACCCTAATGCTTGACGTCCGCGACGCTCCTGCGCTCTCCAATGAACTCCGCGCGGCGATGGGGACGTGGCTGCCGGTGATGTCTGCTGGCGTCGTTGCCGATGTTCTCTGCGCTGTTTCCTGTCTTTCCGCTGGGCTTCTCCAGGACAACACCTCTTGAATGCCTCAACGCGTCGATTCCTCGCCCTTCCTGACCAGTAGCTTGGCGTTTCTGGCACTCGGGGTTTTGGGCAGTTGATGTTCGGGAACTTCGCTGGTAATCGCAAGGCTCTGCAGGCCAACGCCTCTTGAAACCACAAATCGATCCACCGCTCGTCCTTCACGCCAGGTCCTGCTTGATCGGGCAAGGTCCCTGGGTCTTTGACAACTTTCCTCTCCGAGCTCACGGTTCCCGTCGCAGGCCTCTTTCGCTTGACTCTGACAGACCAGGGTGTGGTTGTGACAAAGTTGGACACCGAACGCCTTGTCTTAGCCTTCCGGACCTCAGCCACTTGTGTCTCAATTCGGCGATTCCTGATGTCCCGATCCCGAACGTCTCGACGTGGCGATCTTGCTCCTTGTATGCTTCCCACGGCGCTGCTTCCGACGACTCGCCTTAAGGTGGCTCCCTCGTAGATTACTCGGTTAACTGACTGTTCACCTTAGGACTCCTTGTGATCGACTGATCCAGCTGCCAGCGCTCTGCGGCCTTATATAGGGCCTCCGGGAACATTTATTTCCCTTTTGCGCACGGCCCGCATGAATCTCTCCACTCCGGGTCCAAAGTCCGTGATTCCCCTTTGACCCACTTGTCCTTTACGCACACCTTCCAACCGATGATCTGCCCACTGCTGCCGTCCCGTTGGATTCCGTTATGCTTGTGGCACGCCAAAGTTCACGGTAGAGTTCCGTTATCACCTTTTGCACACGGCAATCTTGCTCTGCCCGCCAAGTCTCCACTCTCTCATTCTCCGCTCCTTGGTCTCCAATTTCTATTATTCTCCCACATTGGTCTCCAAACTCTCTTCTTCTCCATCCGCTTTCTGGTCTAGAAAGGGGTTCAGGGACAGAACCGAACTTGCCGCGGGCACTGGACGCTTCTGACTCAAGCAACGGTATTCTTCAGAAAAATACCTGCGCTAACTTGGAAAAACGATCCAGGAAATCTTCTGTCGGCATAGACGCCACATGGGCTTTGACGGCAGGTTTTTCGACCTCGGTCAACGGCAATTCGGTTCTTTGGCTAGGCCATTGATTGCGTGGCCACCAAAGCGGGATATCCACCAGCTCCTGAAGGGGAACTCCTTGACTATCCAAATCAGATGGATTGTGTTCGGATTGAACGTGCGATCAATTGGCTGTTGGCAACGAACGTTGTCCAATGACACGCTGGTTTGGCTAACCATGCCAGCACAATTGTGCAATCGGTCCAACAATGGAATCTTGAGGACAGCCTCGGAGAATAGCTTCGGCCATCTCGGACAACAGTAGAGCTCCACACAGCTTCAGCCTAGGAAGTGACACCGTTTTGACTGGCGCCACACGAGTCTTGGCCGTGATCGCAGATCCGTATGCTTTTTGCGAGGCGTCAGAGAATTCGCGATGCTCTACGCGGAACTCTGGGCGGTAGAAAGCCCATCTCGGAATTGTGGCCTGGTCTAGGATCCAATAGCTCTGGAGAAAGCTGTTCCACCTTTGGCACAGCTCAGTTGGAAGTATATCGTCCCAGTCTAGATCCTGAGGCCAAATCTCTTGCATAAAGATTTTGGCACACACAACAAATGGAGCGACCCAGCAGGTTGGTCAAAAAGCTTGGCAATTTGGGAAAGGACCTTGCGTTTCTTTGGGGAAATTTTCGTTGCCAAATCTGGTGGTTTCACGTTTTCAGGATCACGAAACGGAAGGCTTTCGACATACCTGCAGTTATCGTCTCTCGTAGTCGTCCGGAGGAAATTTTCCTCACAGTTCATAACGGATGCTTTTGCCACTTTTACTTGCAGATCCTCCACCTCCCAAAATTTGGTGAGAAGTTTATCCAGGGATTTGTCAGACGTGTGGGAAATTCGCGTGGAAAAGGCGAAAATCTGATTTTGCCTTGCAGCAGGCACGGGTGCTGTTAGGATGCACCCGAAAATGGTTTCTTGACCGAGGAGGGAGCCAAAAATGTTCGGCCGGGTGCCGCTTAGGAGAATGGATGGCAGTACATCGGCCCGACCAGATCGGGTGTATTTGATCTTGATCTGGGTCTCGGAGAAGGATTGGAAGACGATGGGGAGGAGTTACCTCTGTGTAGTAGGGTGTGATGGCGGCCGCGATACGCTTTTGCAGCAGCTGATGCCTTCGTGCGATGCAGTTATATATGCCACCCTTGTCTCGCAAGAATTTATTCTTCGAGACGCTGCACTGGAGGCGGATGCTTTCGGCTGAGATTGACTCGAACCTGATGGTTGGACGTCATCTGTAGCTTCTAAGGACCTGTGACGCTCTGTAAGGAATGCGTTTAGCTCCAGCCATGTCGGAATCTCGGTCTTGTTGTGCAAGGACTGTTCCCAAAACGATAGCGTGAGGTTAGGGAGTTTGGAAGAGCAGATGTACAACAAGAGGCAGTCCTAATTGTTGGTTTGAATTCCGGACATTTCTAACGCCGTGAGGCAACCCTGGATTTTGCTTTGAAGTTTTAAGATAGCTGACCTGATTAACGGTCTGTACATTGAGAAGTATTTTTAATTGGCTATTTACTAACCATCGCTTGTTTTCGAAACGGTCAGTTAGGTTAGCCCAGGCTGAGCGAAAGCCATCGTTGGTAACAGGGGAGTTCGAAACTATGTTTTGTGCATCGCCGCTTATTTTTGCATTCAGGTGAAATAGTTTTTCGACCGGCGTCAGCCTTGGATTAATTATATAAATGGCCGTAAAAAGATCCCTAAAGGTCGGCCAACGCAGATAATCTCCGGTGAAAACCTAGGTATCGCACGGAAGCAGCCGACAGCCAGAGAAAATGTAGGTCTGGGTAGGAACAGCTTGAACTTGGAGAGGGGCGGGTGCGGCGGACTGCTGCTGGGCTGTGTGGGAGAAATTATTCGGAACGCGAAATACCCCGGGAAAAGAAAGAAACTAAAAACACAAGCAAACTTGATTTAGTAAAAATAAGTCGGGGAGCCACCTCGATTTATTCCACTTA